ACACACACACACACACACACACACACACACACACACACACACACACAGTAACACATACTTCAACATTCAAATCCACTTATATGTGGATCAAAGGGATGGCCCTAGTAAGGCATACAAATGAGGTTATGGAAATATGGGTGAGAGGGAACTCTAATCTGCCTGCAATTTCATGGAGTTCTAGACTTCAAATAGTGTTTGGTACGTAACTGCAAGTGCCAAAAGCCTGAGTAAGATAGGACAAACTGTGAGTAGGATAAGAACACACACACTCCTGCAGGTTTGATGCTCCGACATTAATGAGATGGCTCACAGTGAAGCTGCAGGCAGATGGTAAAAAATAAATAAAAAGGTCTGACCTACATACAGACAGTCCTTATGATAATACATGGCTTATTAAAAGTTAGAAAACTCGACAAAAAAGGTATGCAGAGCTCATATGTTCTTAATGTGACAACTTCTAACACACTTTTATTGAGTGATGGATTCACATACACACCAGCACTCCCACCAGGACATGCAAATGTCTGCATGTATGTACTAACGGACACACCTGAGTCACTGGCAGAGCCGTGGTCAGTAATGAGGCTGGGCAGACCAGGCACAGCCTGCGTGGTGAGGTACCAGACCGCATGAAGCACATCTGTGGCGTGGACCCGGTTGTGATCTGGGTCAGAAAATACATTTAAAAAAAAGTCTGTCAGATCTTCCCCACCAGGGCGCACTGTTCGGCTGCTTATGTTTCTTGTCACAACATAAAGGCTGCAAACAGTCATATGATGGTATGACATCTCCCTCTAGTGGCTGGTTTCAATGTTACAGCTGCAAACAAGACGATAAGAAAACTGAAGCAAACTCAAAAACAGGAGGAGAGAGTGGTTCAAGCTTACATGGTATGTCTCTGTAACCATTCTCAAGGGCATGGAAGTAGTTCATGAATTCATTTACAGGGATCTTGAAGGTCTCAAACAGGCCAGTGTCTTCAAAGAGCCTGTAGGAGACCTGAAAGACAGAAAGAGGGCCTGTGAACATCACAAGGCTCGGATAATCATCACATCACATTTAAGAGGGGCATAATCATCTCTGCAATTACACGCTAGTCCATCCATTTATCAATGCTAACAAACATAATGTCACTCAGCAGTTTTTATTACTTTCAAGCATTTTATTGCTGGACATTTCTCCATCATTATGCAAACAATCAATAGTTTTATTGACACTCTGGCTGACCTCTGAGCTTAATCGTTGGTGTTCTCAGATGTGCTCACCTGACTGAGGATCCGTCCACATTTCCCATTTGTCTTCTCCATCAAACTGAATATGGGGAAGTTCCAATTATTTAGCTGACTCATCAAAGGCTCTAAGTCCTCCATAACTAACGGCTCTGGAGCCAGAATTGGTTTGTCCTGTGACAAGTGCTGAAAAGCATTGAGACAAATAGATACAATGTTAATAATGTCCCGATATGACGAGTGCGATTGCAGGTTTGTTGCGCCTTATTAACAGAGTTCTATTGTAAGAGCAGTTGTTCTGCCTCGCCTTACCTCAGGAGGTATTAGTGGGTGGAGGATGACATTCTGGGCGGGGTTTTTTCCTTCCTCTGTGTCCTCCTCTGTGTGTGCTACATCACTGCTGTCACCGTGGTTGGCTTCGTGGGTGCTGTCATAGTCTGATGACGCCACCACTTGGTCCTCCGCTAGTAAAAGACAAAAACAAAGAGATGTCACACTGCGGCCTACAGGAAACTGATAAACTGATGCATATCGTCCGGCTTTTTGGAGTATGTTGAATTTACTTCTCTGTTAAATCCCCTTCCTATAATCCCACTTTGTTATAGCTGGTTATTTTCTGCAATTCTCAAACTCCCAGAGATGCTGGGTGCTCTTGTTCACAACACGTCTCAGTGACTGCTGCCACGCCTCTGACACAAAACATGTCATATAGTGTGTCCGATGGCAGAAGTGCTTTAAACTGAAGTCTGATTTTGTATCATCGGAAAAACTGGTTTATCTGCATTTTCAGTGCTGGATTTCAAACTGATGCCTTGTGACTAAGGGATTGAGACCAACATCTGATGGTCACCTTTAAATGATTATTTTCTTGAAATGATATTGATTTGACATTACAACATCTAGGCTAGTCCAGTTAGGTATGGAGCACCAACATTTTAAAATAAACAGACACAAGATACATTGGAATTATTTATATTTTTCCTGTAACAACAAAAGTAATACTTGGGATGGAATTTGATTTTGAGGGTTTTATGCAGCCGTTCAGATTGGAAAATAGATTTTTTATTTATTTTAACATATCTACTGTATATATTTGACTCCTATATCAGCACATTGTAATGGGTGCAGGCAGTCTGAGAAGAGATAAATTATATGTGGTAGTGGTGGTAGTGATAGGAGGGAAGAAGACTGAGAGCATACCTGACCGTGGTATCCTGTCTCCCTTGTCTATAGAACCCTCCCCATGGCTCAGTCTGATGTATGGTCTCCCACAGCTGTAGACAAGAGGGGTGTAACAGGTTAGAGATAAAGTGAACTAAAGGGAAATGTTATATTTGACGTTCCCTGTTGTAATTCTGGGGTATTTGCAGCTGGTGCTGTGTTGCATCTCAGACTACTGCATATATATGTCAGAATGAATCAATTTGAATGAGCTTTAAAGAAAAACATCTTCAACCTCAATGCTATGAAACTACACACTGAAAAACTGCTAAATGTAAAAAAATAAAAATAAATGCTGGGTCAAATGTATCTTTTTCTAAGACATATTGCATCCAAATGTGTATTAAAACATCTGCAAATCAAATGCTAGAATAAGTAATGTAGTTTTTGTAGGATGAGATCAAATTCAGAACAGATGATTAAAAACCAAAAAAAACAGAAAATAATAAAATAAAACACATTGGGGGACAAATGCAGACGGGTACTGTAGATGTGTGTTTGTTTGTAGAGAGCAAAATGTGCAAGCCTTTGCTGTCTGTAGCTGCGCCAAAGAATTGGGAATAACGCCATTCACTACATCTGTCTTTGATATCTAACCGGTTGGCAGAAGTTGTCAAGAAACATTTTTTAATGGGATTCCTACTGTGCTGTCCCCACATGAAACAGACGTTGTACAGATGCTCCAAGAAGAATACTCATTAATGAACATAATGGATGCACACATTAACACAATGAGATTAAACAAGCAAACCAATTCGAAACAGTTGCTGGTACTGGCACTGTTATAAATGACTCATAAGAAATTGAGCCCACCCTCTTTGAGCTTTATGACAAATCACTTGCCTCCCGAGCTGCTCTCAACAGCTTTTCCATGTTTCTCCACCGAGGCCACTGTCAAGCTGTACATGTAGGTGTTTCCAATTAAAATACCTCTCTCTAAATGTTGTAAAACCTGCCTTTTCAGGGCAGGAAGTGCCTGCCGTTAGAGCATGGTGTCACAGGGAGCACAAAGTCCCATAGTGTGTCTATCTCCTTCTGATAAATTGTTTCTTGAACACTTTTGAGCTGTACCCACCCTGCCTAATGGCCCTGAGGCCCCAACAAAGGCAGTTCTGTTGTGTTTGCATGGCCAGGTTGGACCACTGTAATGCCTAGCAGGTGTGGAATATAAAATAGTTTGATAGTTTGGCGGGCGAACAGTTAGTACATTATTGTCAGGGGGGTCTGGGCAGGCTTGGCTTAAAAGGTTTACTTTTAATGAAAGTTGAAGAACTGGCAGACACTCTTCCTATTCTGCTAATGCAGCAGAATAACCTCAGCTACTGACATTGAGCCTTCGGCACTGAATGTAAATAAGAAAGCCGGCCGCCTCCACTCGAGGAATCTGTCAGTCATGTATCGAGTGACTCTGCTTTTATCACAGAAAATCTTCTTAAGAGTAGTTACAGTACTTTAACTGTCCCAGTGAGATGTACCTACAGTACCAAGACAAAATGCACTCATCCTTTGTTTACGTTTCAACCGTGTCTCAAAGAATATCATTTCTTTGGCCTGATACCTTTGGGAAGACTGTAACTGCTGTCTGCAAATATGTTTGTTTGGTCAAAGAAACAACCTGCATCCACAAGACTAATAATGCAAAGGTCAAAGGTCAAAGTTGCTTTCTCGCCTCAAACATAATTTTAACAAATGTTAATGCAGCCAATGTGAATTGTCGACAGTTACGTTTTTCTCTGAAGTAGAAAACGACTCCTGTTCTCATACAAAAGCACCTTGGTATTCTCCAGAATAAACCTTCATCGAGTTAATTATCCTGCAATAGGAAATACTGTATGAATTGCAACATTGTCTGCATTTTCCATGTTGCTTATCTGAATAGTTTCGAGCCATGCAATAAGCTCCAACTGGCCTCCGCCCGCTCCCCTATCCGCTGCAGTTTACTCCAAGATTTTATACTCAACCACTCACAGCAGGTTGACAGATTACCTTTGGTTCACAGCCCAAACGGACAGTGTCCAAGCCAGGATAAACACAGCAGCCATTATTTCTGCTTCCAGTAATCTACCTCGTCTCAAGCCAAATGACGTGAAGAAGATAACAGCACAGTGGCCGGAGCTCAGGGAAATAGCAGGTATTCAATCGCCCCCTTTTTACCGGGTCTGTGTGATAAAAAAAGCCGATATTGTAGCTTTGAAGTTGATGTTATTCCATCTTAACAACGTACGTCACTGAAAGCTGACATGATGGAAAAAGGAGGGAGAAAAAAAAAGAAGCCTAATGTCCTAATTAAGATTGTACAGATTTGATGATGGAGCAGAGAGAAGGCAATTGAAGCCATGTGCTCATTTTCTCCCCTCCATGTGTTCTCTCTCGCCTTCACCCAAACATTTCTGCCTCTCACTCTTCTGATGGGACTCATTACATATCATAAATTATTATTGGTGGTTTGTTTGATCTGTGAATAAATTTAGATGTTACTGCGTCTTGGCCAGCTCTCGAAAAAGCATAACAAATACAGTTTAAAGTACATAAATTACAGAAAACACTCCCTACTACTTCCCAAAACTTGTGATTGTTGTGTTAAAGCCTACTTAAGAGATGATGTGTTGGCAGGTTGCCGATTGCTCATCGAACCATCACAGTTTTAACCCCAAAAACGGCAAGTGGTTGTCAGAAGGCACTGGCCCTGTTTAAGTTCGTCACGGAAGCCTTAACCAGATCTCTTTTTAATTTTAGGCATCTGGAAAAGAGCCAAATGCCTAAAACAAAATGCAAATGAAGTGTTGCTCCGAAGAGAGCCCTCTCAGCTGCAGTAAACTAAACCAGAGACTCTCTGTTCTCTCCAATTGTGTCTGTATAACCCCTGCCAAAAGAAGCAGCTGTGAAAGTGTGTCTAAGCGTGTGTGTGTGTGTGTGTTAATTGTGAGGTTGCAGTGACTGGGGAGAGGCCCAGGTGTTTGTTTATACTCACACCACCATAAGTGGCCATAGCTGGGGCCTGCTGCTGGGCCGGGCTGAGCTTTAAGACCAGGCGACAGGGCTTTGTGTACAGAAGCTGCTCAGTGTGCTTACATTGACAGAACTTGTTCAAGTATCACACTGTCAATGTGCAAACAGACCCAAACAGGTCACTGACAGATGCAATTCTTTGGAGGGCTCAAGTCACAAGACTAGACAGTGTGCAGATCATTTTTTTACTAAGCGCAGTAAACAATAGAATTTTGAGCTGAAGGTTGAATATATACTGTAGTCAACAGACGTAGACTTTTTTTTATCAGTTTTTCTATTAATTAATCTATTCTATTATGGCAATTTAACATTAAGGTCTCAGTTGTATGCATGACACCTTGCATGTGTAATATGCAATTAATGTTTTCTCTAAATGTTTGCCTCTGCATCTCCATGTCCCACGTTTTTGTTGTGTAAATATTTTAACAAGTGTGTTATGTATTGATTGTTTAGGAGAGAATAAAAAAAACAACCAAACCACTAGCTTTTTACCAACCAGCAGATACACAATGTGACAGTTATGTTGTCCACAGATACATAATGTATATTGAAGACTCCTCCCTGACTGAAGCTATTTTAAAAGTTTGTAACCTTGTTGAAAGTTTTCTTGAGATATTTTAACTTTATATTTAATTGTTCAGTAACAAATATTGATAAATGATTTAAAACACAGATCTTAAGAGTGAGTCAGTAGGTGAGTCTTTGTAAAAGTGCTGTATCATTAGTATAAGTTTTTAATAATATGAGGATGTCAAACGTCACCATGAGCTCTTTCTAAAGCATTTCTACAATTCAAAGAATTCGTTCTGGTAAGTTGAATACAGAGAAACGTGTCTGGGAAGCTGTCTGCAGAGTTGAGAGATGTTAAATAATCTCACCTGAACCCCCAGAATCTGCAAGTAATGTGCTTTCTTAGTGGTCAGCAAAGAATGTACTAAGTTTGCAGGGAACATTTAGAAAGAGGACCTTCTACTGTATGTAAGCACTGTACTGCCAATAAGGTGAAAAGCCAGAAATATAACTGCACCTAATATTTGAATCCAACACTACTTGAGGGTCAGGTAAGGATCATAAACTGAGCAATAGCATGTAAGCTATACAAACTATAGTTAATAGTACATTGAGCCAATATCCTCCTTATCTAGTGAGATATATTCAGTCTGAAATTGACAGGTTTTATTATGCATAAATCTTCATTTATTAGAATTAAATATGTCTTAATACTAGCCTAAAATACAGTAAGCGAGAAACGAGATACATCAACTGTTGTTCTGTATGTCTGCACATACACTTCCAAACAAATGCAACCGAACAACACAAAGGCTATCATCGGTTGAAACTGTGTTGTTTGAAACCAAGCAGGCTGTTCAGCGTGTCTTTGAGTCAGGCATCAGACGTGGCTTTCTGAAGTTCTTTTCCCGTTAATAATTGAGCTCCAGCTTCAGTTTAGAGATCTGACAAAAGTTCTTTTGCAACATTTGAAAATCAAACAAACTAACTACAACAACACGTACACACATATACACAAACCTACACCATGTACTAACTGTCCCAGTATTTGGCGCATGACAAGCATCCGTGGCGCTGCTTGGCAGCACAGAGACGCCCAGCAGCGTCTGTATTTACAGACTAACGCTGATCTTCATCTGAGGACTTTCATGCCTGCGACACTAACTCACAAGGGAGAAACTGAATACGGTAGATGAAAAACGAAGAGACTCTTTCTTGTTGAGAGATGCTTAATATTTTAGAGACAGGGAGCATGTGCTGTCTGGTACTGCTTGTGCATCCACATCATAAAAACATTGTGTGCACGATAACTCATATTCAAGTACACACGATCATGCACAGCTGAACATTTTCAAGTTGAATCGCCAATGTTCTGCCCCTTTTGAAATTCATAAAAAACATGAGCTGTTCTAAGATAATCCAAACATAACGTCACAGTAATCACAAAGTAATTGTAAGGAATGCAATCTCTGCACTGATCACAGTAAATGATGCTGAAATGTTTTACTTAATAATCATAACTACTCTAATACATTGTGTTTATTCTAGTTTCAATGCATCAATGCGATTTTCTAACAAAATATGAAATTATTATTTGTTGTTATTTGTTACAACATGGGTCTGTCGTGTCTTGGCATCTCTACTGATTCACTGTATCTGTATTAGTCCGGTCTGAACACAATGGAACAAGCAGGCCACATTTTCTCAGCAGCTTACGCAAAACAAAATGCAGCCGAGCATAAAGCCCAGCACAAAAATACATGCTTTCATGCACACACAAACCCATGAATGCACACAAACGCTCATCAGTACTTACACACATGCTATCCAACGCCCCCCAACATTTATATATATATATATATATATATTCAAATACATTTTTACTTTACTTGAAAACACAGTCACCACTTAGAGTAACTGCTAATCACATTATAATGCATTACACAAGTGATTATAATGTATTACAACTATGGGAATTATACACTATGATCTACAATAATACACTATGATCCTGAGCATGAGCAAAATAAACGTCAGTCAACTATGTATATTGTTGTAGGGCATTATTGATATATCATAATATAAATTGCAAATATATGTAAATCTACGTGACATTTTGTGGTTGTACTGATTTATGATTTTATTGCATTACAAGTATATATAAAAAATAAAACTAAATAAAAATGATATCACATGCATACACATCTACTTCTGAACCATGATACTTGCCGGAGTCTCGTGCTGTCTTCAGCACAGCGTGCAGAGAGTTTTTGTGTGTCTTAGTTATTCAGGTTAATGCGTTCGCCTGTGGGGCATATTTCCATTCTGGCTCCCATGCACACACATCCTCTTCCGAACTGCTGCGCCATTACTGTTCACTCAAGCTGTCTTTGGTATAACTACAACCACACTGCTGGGAATAAACCTCTAAACCCTGAGAGTGATGTGTCATACTGTGCTAGCCATTGTAGGAGTCCTCCTTAAAGCAATTGCACCATAGTTATGTATAACTATGGTAGAATGTTGCACAGCAGGACCTAATTAGTGTACTGAAATACAAAATAGTTTTTTCTTTTTTTCCATGTAGCTCCCTCTGGGGAGCAACTGGAGCACAAGTAAAAGTAAGTTTCTGAGGATAGGATGCTGAGAGAAGAATGAAACATCAGTTGTTCAGCTGTAGCTCAGGTACCTGCAGGTGAGTGCTTCATGGTAGGGTTTGATGCTGGCGCTGCGGTCCCTTCGGACGGGCCCAGGCTCAATGGTGGGCAGGCCTGTGGCGGAGGTGGTGGTGGTCCACGTGGAAGAGATCCTCCTCAGAAGACCAGGGTGGAGACTTCGCCTCAGACGCTGCACACACACAGGAGAATGTTCCTTTTTCTAAAAATGAATAAAATCCTCCTATTCATACCTAACTACAGGAATGAAAAAAACATGGCTCCTAAAGTACTCCCACCTGGGAGATAAGGGTAATGCTCGATTGCTTCGTCTGCAGTCAACTTGATCATAGATGAAGATAAAACAAATGATGCAGCTGATAGAACAAGGAAAAATATTTCATCTGGCACCAAAACAGAATCAACACAGTAATCACTGACGGGAAGATATTGGCTGGCAGCTGTAACAATGCCTCTCAAGGTACATTGTTAGATACAATGTCAGTATTGCATTGCATAGATATATTTCATCACAGGGATTCTGCCTCTCTGCTTCTTATTCTCTCCGTAAGTCTCTTTTGTCTCGTTCTCTCAGTCTCTTTCTTTAATCTGTCTCATCTTTGCTCTTTCTCTGGGATTCCCAGTGGTCTGTGCCCTTGTGGTGCCTCCATCTGTTCGGTGCTATGCAGCAGCTTGGCACAGCAGCGCTAAACATGGCAGGCTCTCTCTCTCTCAGTCTTCTGCAGGGTGACCTAGTAAAGATCGCCTCAGAATCCTGAATGAGCCCATTCACAGCAAGGCGTCATTTACTGAGTGCGAGCACACACACTCAAACACGCCGTCGGTTTAACCGCTTTAGTGGACATTTCACTGGCTTTCTCTTGAGGCTTTACCATAACCTTAATTTAAGACCAATAAAATTGCCAGATTTTAGCATGTGCTGATTTCAGTTGCAGATTAACCAATTTCTGAAGGCAAATGCATAGAAAACACACACACACACACACACACACACTTACAACAGAACAATGGCCAATTAGTGTATACTATATGTACACACACAGACAGCACTGACACACTTGTGCAAGCAAAAGTTCATTTAAAATTACATACCAGGGTTGTCCCCAAAACATCCTGTGTATGATGCTGTTACGATTAGAGAAACGTATTACACACATGTTCTGCACAGTACAGTGTATACTAAGACTATACTATACGTATATAAAAATATGCGTTTAAATCCTGATTTTGAAAGAGGAATAATGGTTCCTCGGTATGATTTTGCAGCACCGTAGTTTCATTCTTTAATGAATGCCCTTCAGACGCACACCAAAAGCAAAACAACACATCACAGAAACACACGCATCACCATCGGCAGCAGCATGGCAAAAACTAGGCCATCCTCACAAAAAAAGTCAGTGTTGAATGAGGTCTATAACTGAACTTATCCCTATAATTGTTTAGTAAAAAAAGCAAGATTGATGAAACTTCAAATATTTCATAATCAGTTCTGAATTTATTCATGTACAGTTATGTGCTTCTCCTTTTTTGCAGCACAGAGAACATGCTGTCGGACAGAAAATGGGTTTTGGAAAAGTGCTTGAAAGGCATCAGTATGCACCACGATGGACATCAAACTCTTAGCCAAGAGGCAGAAAAGCAAGCGCAGGGCTTTCCACTCCTGCATTAACCACCTTCACTCCTCCTGCTATTCTCCTCCCGGGCAGTCAGAGGCTGCACGTCATCTCTGGGGAGCAGAGTCTTAATGAGGGCAGCCTCACCGGCCGCTCCACATGCACAGTTTGTCTTAGCTACTTTTACAAATTTTAGACGACGTAAAAAAAGAAAACACCTGTCAGCCAAATTACTGGCTTGATGGCATGGCAGCCATCGACCACACGCCAGCTTCCAAGACAGCCGGGATAGGTTCCTCAGATTAATAACTGGATCCGTAATTGTGGTGAGGTGTCCAGCTTTGTTGACACATAGACGTCCCTCTTTGTAACCTTTTGAGAGATGCGTTCACCTTCATGTTGCCTCTCCCTTTTCTCGACTACACACACACACACACACACACACACACACACACACACACACATACACACTGTCTGGCTCTGCAAATCTATCATGTTGACACAGCTGTAGCTATGAAAGGGAGAACAGCGCTCGGAGCAGTAGACACGCTCTATTTTTCTTCACTCAACTCTATGAAAATACGCTCCTTCATTTGATGCTAAAAGCTCTGAGAGCAGGAAGCACTCATTAGCTGAAACATGGGCTAAAAGATGAACATGTGTGTGGAGCATAGTGTGGTGTATAAATCATTTGGCCCTAATAAAGGGAACAGCATTTCCATTATTTCTGCCGTTTCACAAAAAAAAAGTTTTATTACGACCTTTGATTAACAATTATGACTATTGGTATGTGGATGAAATATCCTCACTTTCATCTAGACTTCCTGTTACTGCATATCTTAAAAAAATCATGACACATGATCTTCATTTATGTCTTTACCTTATGGATGGACGTCTTCTCCCCTTTCTCTGGCCCCTCCTCTGAGTCGGATAATGTGTAGGCATCGCCGGGGTTAAGCAGTGGAGCGGGGCGCGGCCGGTGCAGCGACTGGAAGGTGAGCTGGGTGGTTAGCAGGTTGCTGACGGCCCGCAGTGAGGTGCAGGTGTTGGGGGGCAGAGAGGGGTCAGCCAGCAGGTCTGTGATTAGTCCGTGGGCTTCTCCCATCACTGCTATGTCCACCATGACAGTGGTGCCGGATGACTGTGGGGTGACGGGGAGAAAGACAAAGGAGAAATAAACATCACTGCTGCTGTGGCTAATGTGAGTCGATGCTAATTAATGGCTGGATCTGATAGTGGCTGTGTGCAGCTTCTTGGCGGCAGGTGTGAAGAGCAGGTGTGTAAACTATGTCAGCAGCTCGTGTGTGAACATAATGTGTTTAAAGGTGACATTGGCATCACTTGAGTTGTTAATTCTACCGAAATGGAAGTCAAACTATCTACGTAAAGACGAACAGGTCTCACTCTCTCAGTGGTGGAAACTGGTGTATTTACTCAAATACTTTAATTAATTTTGGATAATTCTGAGGTATTTGTACTTTAAGTTGCACTTATTACTAAAAGATGTTGACCATAGAAACAAACCCACAAAGAAATATAACTTCACTCTACATTTTCCTTCAACAGTGTTTTGGCACCTTAAGCTCAATGTTTTTGCTTTATTGTTTTGGTTCAGTCTCACCGCTCCCATTGGCAAAAAGCTGCTATAGCTCTAACAAACCCACTGTACTATTCCTGCCCAGCGCCAAACCACCGACGGACAGAGTTAGTGACTAGCTGGTGAACATAGTGGAGCATTTAGCAGCTAAAGAGCCAGATATGTTACACTGGAGAACAAGATGGAACCACAAGGATTCAGGAATTTTTATTGGACTTGCAATAACAACTTTATCAGTATATGTGCCCAGAAAAAGCACATGGTCGTCGTTTAACCACCAGGTTCAATCCCCTGCTCCTCCTGTCTGCATGTCGAAGTGCCCTTGAGAAAGACATTGATTACTCCCTGGGTGCTTTACAGCAGCCGACTGCTCCTACATTTTCAGGATGGGTTAAATGCAGAGGTCAAATTTCATGCATGTACCTGTTTTATATGTTGATTCTAATAAAGTTTACATTTTCAAGTAAATAAAATGGCTTCAAGATTAAAGAGCAACTCAACAGCAGCTCAAACTCTGGTTTTTGCTGACTTCCAGGGGTTTAACGTAATTCTTATCTTGCTGCAGTGATGTAGAGGTGTACTCCAGGGTGTGTCAGTGCACAGTGATGTCATTGTTAGATGCGATTACAAGTGCAATAGAGCACACTATTACACCCATTGGTAACGCTAACTGTGGTTAGATATACACACTACCACTGCTTTTTAGCGCAGGTATTAAGTTGCTCTTTAAATGCACATTTATGCATCAGTGATGATAGTCAAATATCATATTATATAATAATATAATACCGATGGATTTGCTGATAATTCTAACATACTTTTCTTTACGTAACATTTTGAAAGCAGAACTTGTAATGGAGTATTATTACATTGCTGTATTGCTTCTTTTACTTAATAAAGGATCTGAATACGTCTTTCACCATTAGTCATTCTTTACTATAACATATTCTATCACAGCAGAAGCTAATGCTGATACAACAAAGACTGATTTGAAAACTATTACAGTCTCTATTCAGAAATTATCTGGGGAGGCCAATTGTCCAGCAGCAAAAATGAACATTCATCAGCTTTGTCCCATTTTTATGGAGAATGCATTATAAGAGGACAATGACAGTGAGCACAGCCATCACCAAATTGTGTCTCAATAGGGCACTTAGCTGAGGGAAAAACCAACATGGCACAAATGATACCTATAAACAATACCCAAACACAACAATATAAAAGTAGGAAAACAATAGACAATTTACTTTAGACCACTATCATAGGAGACATATTCAATCACAGTGTCAGACTGAGATCCGGCCAAGCTTTATAAAGTGTATTTTAATTGTGTTATCACACACACATGCACACATCCATCCACTCACACATCAAAGGCTTTCATCTACACCTTATATGGCTCCTTTCAGCTCAGAGAAAGCCAAAACGTGAGGAGGAGCAGGGAGTGGTACTTCACAGCTGTAGGAGTTGACATACTTTTAGACATGTGAACAACGACATGAGGTTAACCATGTTTAGCACAGCTGTGCTATACTTAATGCTTAATGAATGGACTCGTTAGCAATGTCTCAGCTAGAATCCGACCCTTGACTTCCTCACGCTTGACCCCTGAGAGACGGCCAACAACCCTCGTCTGTTTCTGACCGTCTGCCCTGTGCTTTGAAGGCAGCAGCGTCGTTCGAGCCGGCCCTGTTTTTGCAGGGTAAAGTGAAAAGTTCACAACCCACTCTTAATTGCTGTGCCTAGAGCAGTTGAACAACCACAACTAAACACAGGTCAGTCTTGGCTGCCAACAAGTTTATCTAATAAGCTCACGAGTTCCCTTTTCTCCAAAGAATGTTATCAGATTTTTCTCGCCCCATGTCCCATTCACTTTGACACCAGCTGCCAGGCACCCAGAATTATACTGTTTACACTGGCTCAGTGGCAAGAGGTTGATCTGAACAACACATGTGCGAGCACCTTTCATTCGTCTTGACTTGTGGGAACAGTGAAGGTTTCGCGTTTTATTTTCCTAGTTATATCAGATAAGTCACTGTATTTATGCACTTTTTCTTTTAGTCTGCAAAAGGACAAAAGCCGTGTGTTCGGCGGGTGTGAGGCCATTCCTCCACATGTGGTGATCCACACATGATAATGACACACTTATTGATAAATCTGACACATGGTCAGCACTAGGACTAAGCTAATCCCTTTTAAAGACAAGGAGACGTCCTGTGGAATGGCTGATGGAACGTTTCTGGACAGAAGGCTATTGTACCCTCCTCATCCCTCCTCTCCTCTCCACTTCTCTTCTTCTTATCCTCCCTCTCCTCTTTCCCATATTCTGCTTTAATGCATGCTGTGAGCATACGATGTAAACACCTGTCTCTCAGCTCATTTACAGGCTGATTTAGGAGTTTGCTTAAGAGAGGGTTTAAGCAGAATATAGCTGCTGGAGAACATCTGTCTCGTCAGAGCATCTCCAACCACGCATGCGGGCACACACAAACAAGTTGTGCGATTTCTAGAAACTTAACCCCTAGTTCTCACAACACAGTCAACACGAAAGTTAAGTAAAACACACGCTGCATAGACAAAGACTGACATACAAACATACAGTGAAAATGGCATCATCCTGAGCATGCAGCACAGAGACACATGTGTGCACCCAGTTAAACACACTATGCAGGATGAGCATAGTGTCACTAAGCTTGACTACCTAACAAATTGGACTGAAGTGGCCATATAGGAGGAGGGAAGGATGTGCACGGTTTGATTTTGCACTGGGGGCAAGCCACTTAATGCCCAAAGCATGACATTGAAAAATAAATTGTGGTGAAAAGCTCCAGGTGCATGAGTAGCATTTGAGATTTGGGGACACGGTGGGGATCTTGATTCCACTGAATTTGTACTGTTCTTATTGACCTGAAAAAAATGGCAATACCTGCTCTGCTAAAACAAGCCAAGATCTAAAAGGTCATGCTGTCAAAAAACACTGTCCATCTACCTTTAAAAATCCTCCCTCGAAAGGTATCTAAAGAATGTTTGTGAGACGAGGAGCAAGAGCTTTGAGCTATCAAACAAAGCTGATTGCAAGGAAAGATTAAGAAGGTAAAGTCCCGACCATCCCTGGCGCAAGTTGGTCTTGGCTGGACGATAAGTCCTGATGCTCCAAATCTTCCAACAATCTGCAAACTAAAAATTAAGATGGACCTCCTGTAACAGATTGAATTGTGAGCAAGTTACATAATATCATAAGGTTATATAAGCATTTCCTGTCAGGTTAGATGATCGGTTTCATTCATCAGCCGCAGGCATGTCTGTAGCGGCTCCACTTGTGTAAGGATAGATCTCATACAAGCCCCACTCACTGACCACTGTCTGGGGTAACAGCATTGTGAGTATCATAGAAAAAAGCTTTTGGACAGATGTTATGATGGAGCATTTCAAAATTCGTAACATTTTTCTGAAAGCACCATGGTGTTCTTTCCTCGGTCACGTCTGCAGTGTTTGTAAACTCCATTAAACACCTTCCAGTGAAGCTGTATACTGAATTATGTTGAATGAATTATTTCTCTAAATGGTTCCATAAGCATACATTCTCTTTTAATGCAGCCCAGGCAACACACATTCACATCTGGGAACTGTCAACAACTGTCTGGCTCACACTCCTCTGTTCTGAGAAATAGACCCTTCAGAGTTAATCAGTGATCCAGCACCTCAGAGAGTTGTGTAGAGGAGATTTGGGAGTAATTACCTTAAATTATAGAGTAAAAAGACAAAGGTTGTCTCTTTGATCATCGAAACAACAGTATCCTTGGTTTGAAAATGATTCATCATTCTTCTGTGTCTAAGTCAAATGTATCAATCTTACTTGGTGGCCATGAAAAGCTGCGGTACCACCAGCCGCCATCTGACTCCCGTTGCTCCTAAAGTAATGTTATTATGGTAAGGAAGCCCGCTGAGCGAGGTGGTTCTGCACTTGGCAGCTCAGGTCTTGGAAAGGGAGGAGTGAGCGAAGGTGTTTTCAATTGATTGCAATCTGCAACAACACCGCTAGATGCCACCAAATACTACAAACTGTACTTTTAACTTTTCATTATGAAGTAATTGATGATTGCACAATGTAATGGCTACAGAATAATGACACCATCTGCATTTCGATTGGCTCCCTACAAGCCTGGCTTTCACTATGCAACTCTATCTGCCAACAGCTTTCGATCTCCTGGGATAATGAAGGCTTGTTTCACGGCACAAAGAAGGTGCAACCATTGTGCAACTAAAACAGGAAATTGATGGCACTTTTGTTTTACCCAGAAGCTATCATCAGCTATCCCCAGTTGCCAAACAGTATCGATGTAGTTCTTTGGTACTCTCACTTGCAGCGGAAATTCCAGAAGATGTAACAACCAAAGTAACCGTGGAAAACAAAATGCTGTATGTCCTGTGTTGTCTAGAACCACTTGGAAACGCTAGGGGGGGAAGTTGAAAAGTTGTGTGCTTCCACTTTAAATAAATAAAGCAGCCATATAACACTTTGCGCTGCACTTTAGCCTGTGGGCTGGTGTTCTTAACGAATGAAAAGTGAATGATGATTACAATTTCAAAGCAGTGAAATACATTGCTCAAGTCATTTAGAAAAATACTTATTTCAATTCAAAAAGTAATATTTGTGGAGCATGTGGATTCTCTCATGCTTGCAGCCATTTGGTATTTTTGTGGCTGGCCAATCTTCTGCATTTAACTGCCAGGAGGCATGTTGATTTTAAAAAGGCAAGAAAGTTCCTGTTTCGACTGATGCCAGCCCTTCACACACACACCCACTGATCCTCCTAATCCGGCCCCTGTGCCAAGCACCCCTGGTCACAAATTTACCGCAAAATCGGTGTGATATTCGGTCACAAGCCGCCAGCGTTTGTTGACATGCTACATTTGATAAAACTGACTACCAGCATTAACAAACAGTTATTATGATTCTTCAACGAGCCAAGCCATATACTAAACCTTGCTGCTATGACATTTTACTATGACTAACAACAGTGTATAAGTGAATAACACAGTTTGGAACACTACGTCAATAGACATGCCATATATTAACACCCGTGCAGCAGTTCATGTAAACCAAACCAAGGGCCAGTCAAAACAAACCAGCAATCACTCCTGAAGAGTGAAAAGCTATTTGTCCACACAGCTTCTCTGTACTCAAGACCCTACTCTGCGTGTAGTTGAAGTAATTTGCACCAAAGATTGACCAAATAATAATTACAAATAACTCTTAGTGCCGGTTTAGTCTGGATATTGTACCAGATCGATGAAATGAGTCAATGACCAGAAACATTTAATGTAAAAGTTTTGGAGGAATTAATAACTCAAACATATGTATAACAAAATATCCATAAAACAATGCTGTACATGCTTTGCTAAATGCTGGTATGCAGACATGCATTTACAATATTTAAACTTCAGATATGTGCACACATTTTTTCATGTGACACATCACAGATTACAAACAACAACATGGACTATGACTGTTGCATAAGCACTGAGTGTCTGAAGTATGACTGCTGGTGTTCCTGCTGCAGCCACATGTTTTTGCCAATAACTCTGCAGAAGACAGATGAAGTGCATTTGATGCAACAAACACATCACTGATCCTTCTGTCTAATGATTATTATTAATGGAATACACAGGCAAAGAGGTCACATTTTTGCAATTTCTGAGACGGTCCACTTAATGCACTTTTAACCCCTTGGCTCCCTCATATAAACATAAAGTCCTCTAAGCCTCAAGTAAAATACCCGTGATATGTGAAGCTTCTTAAAATTGTGCAATGGTGAGAATATGATGTATCCCACAGGAGAGCTAGAGACTGGACAAATGCCTCAGGGGCCTACTGGAGAACGAAAGGTATTTGATTCTCTTAGTAAACACATTTCAATAATGTAAGCAACTCTGGATCTTCATAAAGCACACAGATACACACATTGCGGGGCTTGTTTGCAATTAACCCGCCCGCACACTCTGATATACAGGAATTTGCTGAGCAAGAAGCTGGGGAATATATTAAATAAAAAATACTTAAGTGCATTCATTATTTTTTCTTAGGTTGATTTCATTTACACAGAACTCTCTGCATGTTTGAAAAATCATTACCGTGCAGTTTTGTATTTCAGTGGCAGTGCAGTAATGGCCCTGATCACATCTGTCCAGATGGATTAGCTGAAGAGAAGCCTGGGAGTTGGTGATGTTCTCTACTTGAATTAACGGAGCTGTGATAAAGTGTGAATCACAGCAGAACGGTAACAGAAAACTCCACTGAGACACTCTTTGCTCCTCGCCTGAGCTCCTACAGCCAAAACTGTATTTCCCACTTCCCAACGAAACCCCCACCAAGACCCAACTCCCCTCACATCCCCTCTGTCAACACAAACCAAAGCTGTGCTGAGCCAGGTCCTCGGCTGCAGCCAGGATACAATTACACACTATTACATATTTTATTAAAGGGGGTGTGCTGTGGGATCTGAGGGGTATTAACACAAAACAAACAATAATAACTGCCTCATTAATGATTTACTTGGAAAGGTCAAGCCAATTGACCCCGAACATGCAGCCATCTCATCTCCAAGGAGAGGCTTGTTTTTCTTTACACATATTTCAGGGGGTTTGATTCCAACAAAGGAACCAAGTAAGATTAAAAAAACAGAGCTAGAGAGACACACAAACAGACCAGTAGAGGCAGAAGCAAACAAGAAATGCTGGCATAAAGGACAAATGGCACCAGCTCAGAGGTGTTTTACTGTCGCACATCATAAAAGGTAGGAGTTTGAAAACTGCTAATGCTTCTGTATCATTTGCGGATACAATTGTTTACCAGGCAGAGGACGGTCAACAAGCTCAGGTAGTTGAATGTTTTCAGTCTCTTTCAGCCTTAAATTCAGCCATGCCACAGGACCCAATTTAATGAGAAAATACTCTCCTGGACTGTCATGTCGGGGCCAACCAGAAGAAGGGCAGTGACCTTTAACAACTCGAAAAACCCGCAGTTTAAGAAACGCTGGTCCCAAGTGTTTGAAGTGCTCAGAGTGATTTTGAGAAATCTTCAACATGACTGCAATGTCATGGCTTGTCTGCCTCACATACGACTCTTCCAGCCTTTCTGTAATTTAGAATAACAGTCTCGAGACACTCGAGGCCTACAGACACTCTTTTCTCCGATAATCTCCCCGGGTAATGTTCCAAAACCAATGTGTTTTCAAGTCGAATACAAATATTTAAATAGCTCTTTCCATACATAACTTCACTGTCAATTCCTAGGCTAAAACATCCACCGCATGCTTCGGACGGGTGGGGAAAAGAAAAAAAAAACGCGGTTTGGAAAATGAGCCTGCTAATGTGTGCATGTTGGCGACTATGACAAAGTGGAGATCAATCAAACGGCTAAAGAGCAGAGTGTGTGATTTACACACTCTACGAGGTGCCGTGGCGTAGTCGAGCGCTACCAGCCTCTCTGACCAACAACCTGGTCCAAGAGAGCAGAGCCAAGGGTAAATAGCCATGAGATGGAGAGGGATGCCAACATAAGCCTTGACTTCTTACACGTCTTGTCAGTCTCTAGACTATTACAGGATTCCACTGACGAACGCAGAGCACCGATCCAAAAAAAAAAAAAACTGAGCTGACCACTGAGTCTAAATGGCAGCTTAGGGAATGCATCAATCAAGAAATATGTGCTTGCCTACAGCACTAACCCCACATAACAAATTGATATGAGCCTTGGACAATATTTCAAAAGGGTAACATGCTATTTGAAAATGTCTCCACTCAAAGAGGATCATATTGTAAGGCTGATCTGGGAACAGATATACCGCTATATGAGACTTAGCATCTCTAGGAAATTACAGTGTGTAATTTGATTTCAAGGCCAATCCTGCGCTGCACAGTTACGAACGCTATTCATAAAAAATGCCCCAATTCACCCCCCAACCACAACTTTTTATTGCTACCCCAGCATAAAGTGTCAGCACGAATGCATTGTCTATTCATTTCTAAAGGATATCCTCCTGATAGCAGAACATACTGTATATGGCCATGTCAACACCAAGGGCAATGTTTGTTCTTCATGTACTCCAGAGCGCTGCCCTGTGGCACCTCAACACACCAATCCCCAAACACGCACACACATTCTCACCCCCCAAAGATGGAAAACGGTAATCTCCAGGATGTGTTTGTGTGTGTCTGCCCTCTACGAGCTGTGCCACCTGAGTCCCTCTAGTTTCAATTCCCTGGCCTTTAATGGCTTGTGCAGCACCTTCCAGCTACATCACAGACCTGCGTCCTTTAGACTAAAAGAGTACAAGGACTCTGGTGGGAAGTGACACCTCTGGACATGCTGTTTAACCAGGGCTGAAATGAGTGGGTGAACGGGCCTGTTAGTGGTGGGATTTCTGCTATTTGCGTCATTTAAAAGGTGGGTGTAGGCGAGTGACAGAGATGAGGGAACTAGTTCCTGTGTGTGTTTTCCTGTCAGCTGTTAAACATCATTGTTATTCCTAGTGTGTCTCTTTTTGTGTGGACAGTGCTAACCTGTGATCCCCGGGAGCCTCTCTTGTGGTCCCAATCCGAACGGGGGAGCATCTGTGGGAAAAGAGAGACATGTTCAAACCACAGTCATGAACATCCTGTTCCTGTTTGCGTCCTACAGCAGAACTTCTGCACAAAGGCAACACCATAGTTGAGATTTACTGTGCTGGAGTGAAAAAGAGGAGGAGCAGGGATGGTGATGAAGTGTGGGGGGGGGGGGGGGGGGGAAATGCTCGTAAATGCAAAAATGGGTTTTGTCTATTTTGTTTCACTTTCCATTAAGCGCAGATGTCTAATGCAATTTCACAGTCAGGTTCGGTTTACTTTAGCTCCTATTCGCTGCCTAAGGGTCTGGTGGGGGCTGAATCTTTTTACGCTGTCTAATTACCAGCCACTGTGTCCTCCCACAGGCCTCGTAAACCCGTTTTCCACTTTCTTGGGAGTCACCGAATGCATCAGTGCAGCTCTGTCACTGGTTTTTGGTGAGCACGTTGCAGGAGAGCCAAGTCAACATTACCCCCCCCCCCCAATGTTCGGGCTTTCTGCCCCAGAACTGAGAAGCCCTGAGAAACCCAGCATGTCGCTGTGACAAATTGCGGCTGCACACACTGAGGCAAGGGGCTCAGCATAAGAGCCAAATTGATAATTCAGGTGTAATTTACTGTGTCAGAGGAGGTCATTGAGTTGTGTCATGCTGTGAGAGAAAACATTAGGAAAAAATTGGTTTTCGGTCGCCTGTGCCACTGGTCCGTCTGGACAGAAGTGTTGTTTTGTGGCGTGTTTTTCAACAGTGCTGCTTAGTTCTAAACAAATTGCTCCTGTTGCCAGGAGATAATCAGTTCGGTCTTGTGTTTGCGTGACTGAGTATGTGTGTGTGTGTGCATCTCTGTGTCTGTCCACAGCTAATCTTGCATACTGTTGGACCAAAAGTGACTCACACTTTCTCAAAACACCTTTTATTTGATACTGCATTACTCTGCAGCCCCTACCTGGGCAGGTGAGGTGAGACAAGGCAAGTGAGACACAGTGAGAAAAGCACTTTGCCCACTTTTATTGTTTTGGACGGTGTATTTGGCTATCAGCTAACAGCTAACATGACTACACACGCAGCTAACTGCATCGCCGCCGCTCAGCCACTGCTCTGCAGCCGGAAACACCGTTATCTCATGCCTTTTATTGGGCATCATCCTCACATTTACACGTGCATTGTCAGAAAAAAATAGATTTGAAGCCTCAATAAATGCTTCAAGTCACAGTTACGTCTGTGAGACGGAGCGGAGACGAGCACCTGAACAGAGCCGGTGCAGACATCTGCATAGATTAAAATGAGAGCTTAGCCAAATATGGGTTGTCTTCATTCAATCAAACATTACAGCAGTGGCCGTTGCAGACACACCGGGTAGAGTCTGCACTCTACTGAGCGCACCTTTGTAGTTATAAGATATTTTCGTTTGTACATTTAAAAAAAATAAAGGTATATTTGAATGTATATTGATCGGTCGCAGTAAGAATTTTATTGAGAATCACGGTCCTGAAAATCAATTTTGCTAATGGCTCCACAAAACGCTGGTGACCCTGACAGTAAGTAAACAAGGGCAGCATCATTACAATCACACACAACACAATGCACATCCATTCATGAAGCACAACGGCTTTACCACAGTTTGACATTAAGGATCTTCTTTTATTTAAATGCAATATGAGGGAGTTGCCCTTTCTCAACATATTCTTCACTCATGCTCCATTTTCTAGCCCAAGGACTGCAGCTATGAAGAGCCTGGTTTCTTCTATCATAAGCATGATTATATCTGTGAGTCACTTTAAAGCTCCGTCAAGCGTGTGTGTACCTTCTCATGCATTAATATAACCATACTCGATAAAAAAGGAAGTCAAACAGGCAATCATCTGTGTGAAAGGCCCACATATGAGATGTAAATTACTGTGAATGATAATATTAGCCATCCAGTGAGCTGTTTGTCTTGTTTTACTGCTCTGACGACGGGGTTTCGCTTTTAAAGTATAGGAGTTGGCAGCAGCTCCTCTATGGTCACGGCTGAGTCCGGCTCCATTAGAAGGTCTTAGTATCAGTGAGGCTCTCCAGGCGCACACACATAAACAGCCTATTCGGTCTTGCAGTCTTATGTAACCCACCCTTTCATCTCCATGCTCTGAGAGACAGACCCAGACTACACAGAAGTCTACATGCAGCCTTTGATGTGCCAAAACAAAAGAAACACACAAAATCAAAGCTGAGCATAGAATTTGAGCGCCGCAGATCGCCTCTTGCACAGAGTGACTTTACAGGCCACAGTGGAGTTAATTTCCTCTGAGACTGGCTCAAAACATTTCATCAACAAATACATGTGGATGGTGTGCTACTCACTTACTAAACCAAACAGTGGATGCAGTCTGGTGCCACTGTGTTTGAATGTTCTTTACCAGTGCTGGAAGATCAGTAAACAAAGGTTTTGGTGTTAGTGCTTCCAGCCTTCAAATCACCGGTGTCATAACAAACAAGAAAAGACAAATCTATTTTTCAAAGACAAAAAGCAGAAATTTCCATCACAAGAGTCAAAAGAAGCCCAGCAAAACCAGATAATAACCTCACGGAGGCTGAATTGTACACTGCCAATAAAAGAGCAAAGAAAAATATGACGATACAAAGAGGATATACGTCTTCTTTTCCAGCTAGTTAATGCTTTCCAAACAAGAATAAACATTGATAAGAAACAAGAAAAACTAGAGACCATCATCCGCCGACCTTGTTACCACAACCATCTTCACACTTGGCCTTCCTTTTGATCTCAGCTACACACCTATAAAGCTCCGTGACTGCATCTTGCACTTGTGACACTATCACGTTGATCAAATCTGTCCACAGACAGAGAGACATGAATATAGACACCTGGTAAAGTAGTTCCTGCTACAGTAGGTGTCTCCATGACCATATTTTACCATGATGACACACACACACACACACACACACACACACACACACACACACACACACCCAAACACACACACACACACACACTCAGACTCAGACTCACAAGATGAAAACAATACCAGCCACATGCTGTCGCGGCTGGTAACAAAAAGACTTGTTCAAACTTTATTACCTTGTTTTGCTTCAGGAGAACGAAGATTATACCTAAAACATATGACAGTTCACTGCCAATATTATGTCTAAAGAGGTAAAACCACACATGAATGATTTCTTAGAGATCTCCTGGTTTTTCATGGACACCCTCCAGGCAGCACAACACAGCCGAAGCAGTAAAATTTCCAAATGGATTTGTTTTTGTCCTAAAGCTCCAGTGCACCTACTGGGAAAAATAACAACTTTGTAGAAGTTATGCCCTTTGTTTCACCCTCTGCTAGATTCATTACCGCCCCATAACTCAGGTCGAGCAGTGGCTTTCACTTACAGCAAATACTGGTGATTTATAAGAGACTGAAACCAGTCTTCAAGAGAAAAACATGCGTTGCGTCTTTGAAAGTGGAAGTACGTCTTTCAATCACGGCGCGATAGCTACCAGAGTAACACGACACACTCAATAAGGTCGAAGGCATTTTAATGGAACTCTGGCTCCATTCTGAATGCATTCTGAAGATTTGCTGTACTTTCATGATCCAGAGTGATACTAGAAAGAAACAAACAAACAAGAGAAAGCAATTATAATGGTGTAGTTCACCTTCGTCAAGGTGCAGCCAATAAACTAAATTGAAAATGATAAAATCATACTGAGCTCATGTGAGCCCTCATCTGCACCACTGGTCATGTTTGAAATGTGCCAATTTGAATTAAATTCAAACTGGATGTTATTTAACACAGATGAAAAGCCATAAGGATTCTAATATTGTCAGCATTAAGGTTTGGTCCCTTTTTTTCCGATAGGTTTGGCCTAGTTTGGATTCATATTACCTCTTGGAGTGTCAAGACGGGAAGTTTGAACTATTTTTCCATTGCTTTTACGACTTGCTAACTAGATTTCACACACTTGTATTCTCCCAATTTACAACTGCAGAGGAACCCTCAAGGGTTCAAACTTCAACAACACTGTGTCTTTCCAGGAACAACGTCCCATTTACTGTGGAATAGCCCAAAGACCTCACTGTCAATAGTTTTCTTTGGAACCGTTTTCTGCTTTTGAAGTCTTCACACACAGAGTTACCGAGACATTGGTCCTTAAAGAGATGTTGCTGTTGAACTTTCAGAGATTTATATCTTTAAACACTGACAAATTTAACTAGTATATTCTGCATGGCTACATACCATTAAAAGTATGAAACTACTTCCTTTTTTTAATTTGGATTAACTGACTTCTTGAGGGAGACTCCAGTCTGAGCAAGTTACCAAATAAAGTGAGTGTTTTCCAAATGTTAGTCTTTTTAGTGCAAAATTCCCTCTTTATTTTAACTCGGATGGTTTCATTGCTAAGCTGAGGCAGAAGGATTCTTCCTGTAGTTACACATAGGTTTTTTTACAGAAACAAAACGATGACAAATAACCTTCACAAGGACAAAGATACAGACTGGATTCAGACTGAAAACCTCATATTAGTTTGGGTGATTTTTTGTCTTTTTGCCCAAACAAGGACTGTCCCTTGTCCCAAATTTCTTACGGTGTGTTCACTCTGATGGAATCGCATAAGGAGAAGAGGGATGTTTACAGATTTAGATTATAACCTGTGTCATGACAAGAAGTCCTGTCTTTTACTGTCAAGCTTGATGCGAGTTTGTTTAGATTTTAGGCACAAAGGAAAATAATGAAAAGGGCACTCCTAAGTACAGTAGATGATATAAAAACTGTCACACATACAAAGAAAGCAGCCAGCCAAAATATACCCTTTTCCCTCTGAAAATGAGCTGCACTCTCATGACTCAAAATGAAATAGTGCCAGGCGAGTAAACTCCCAGCCTTCCTCTCACCCAGAGTGTTAAGAGGGCAGCAGTGTGGATGCCAGTATGCAGCCATGCCCTGTCCACCACCATGGCTCCGAGCCACGGCCCACAGCAAGCTGCCGTGCCTCTGAGGTGCTGGGTAAACACCA